TTGTAGTCCGCAACTCTTTCAAATGATGTTTACAGAATTTCTTTTGCCATTCTGCTCATACTACAGACAACTGACATCAGTTCGAATATTGACTTCTTCTCAATCATACTACACTCACTTGAAATTATTCCAAACATCTGGCTTTCATCCACAGGCTAGAACGGTTCCACCAACAGTTTACAGCCTCACTGACAGCTGAAAATATATCTCAATGGACTAGAGCTATTTTACTTGTGTCACTCGGGATTGGCAACACAGTGAATTCCGATGTCGGAAGCACTGCAGCCAAACTCGTTTATGGCATATTTCGATTCACAACAGAATTCGTTGAAACTTTATTTGGTCCTACAGGCTTAGAAACGTAAAGCGTTTGGTTATGCCTGTCCCTGCTCGACCCCATGCGACTAATGTACTGGTCCGATATGATTCATTACCTAGAACACATACTTTCGAACGGCCAGACTCATTCCACTGACTACTCGAAGCCGCATACACAGTACGTTTCAAAGTTCTTAGTCATGGATCTGAGTACGGTAAGACTGATTGTAACTGTGGAAAAACAATATCAGTATCGATCTGCTGAAAGTTTCCGACATAGTAGACACCTTCACAATCGACCTCTCCAACACGCCAGATAAACGACCCGATCCCTACGACTACGATGCAATTACCATTCGATAATAACCACAGCGAAACTCCAACGGTTTTCGAGAAGTGACCAAGGACGAAAACGAACCAAGAAGACTGCTGAGTGTAGGACATCTTGAAAGGTCAATTTTACCTCATCCTCTTTTCATGTTCAACAACTCCTCCGCATTTTTTTTATTTAGTATTTGTTCAGAACAACACCACCTGGAGGCCTTCTAAGTCTACTATCCATTCCCAGCCCGGACAAAGGAGGAAGTTTGGGCATAGGGTAGCGATGCACTTAGCAACGACTACAATGAAGACTTTGAGATCAATTCTACGAGAGGCTGCAGTCAATCGTTAAGAAATACACATCAAGAGTCTGACGATTCTGATGGGGAACCTAAGTGCCATGGTTGACAAGGACAACACTGGATATGAAGACATCTTGGGACGACATGGACCGGGGTAAACGAAAGAAAATAGTGAGAGATTCGAAAACCTATGTGCCTTCAACAAACTGGTCATTGGCGGCATAGTATTCTCACGCAAGCACATATACAAAGTTACGTGGATTTCACCAAACCACATTACTCAGAACCAAGTCGACCATATCTGTTTCAATAAAAAATTCAGGTCTATGGACGACGTGAAAATTAAGAGAGGAGCTGATATAGCGTGAGATCACAACTTGCTGGTCGCTAAAATGAAACTGAAACTCAAGAAGCACTGAAAAACACAAACGTTTGTTACGTCTTTTCGTCGGACACTGGAAAGCTCAACGGATTCAAGGTAACTCGCAGCTATTGGTTCCAGGCCTTGCACAATCTACACAATGGAGAGGAAAAAACCACGGAGAACAGTTTGAAAGGGATCTAGATGGCAATCACTTTAACATATCAGGAGGTTTAGGTCCACAAAGAACCGCCAACACAAGGAATGGATCTCTGTTAGTATTCTGGATAAAATTTAGAAGAGGAGGAACTATAAAGCAGCAGTCGATATCGGCCGAACAAGGGCAGAGGAAGTCAAAGCACGAGCTAAATACACAGAAGCATATAGGCAAGTGAAGACGAAATAATTAAATGTAGAATCCATTCTGAAGGCTTTCTTTCGGGCAAAGGTTCTTACTGACTCTTTCTGTGCTACATTTTTGTACTCTGTTTAATCCCATTTTGTGATGCTGATATTTACATTTTGTAATAGTTTCTATTTTTGTACCTTTATTTGAGTTTCTAAGTTTCCTACTGAACTGCATTTGTTGTTTAAATTGATACTTATATATGGCTAAAGCCATATCGGATTTAATACCTTGGAGTGTAGGACGTGCATCAGGACTGGAACGGTGCAATTTTGTACCTGTACGGAAACATTCTTCTAGAATGGAAACACGTTGTGTTATTTTTGACGGAAAACAGTGTAGAATGGTTTACGTGAATATTTGTATTTTTTGATTAATAATAGAACCGTTTGTTACTCAGTTAAATTGCTTTCTTTCTGGAATAACTGGGCAAGGAGCTTATATAAACTTTTAGAACTGATTTTCCGAAATCAGCGCTCACTCTAAATCTTACAGTAAATATGTCGAAGATCTAGAAATGATGGCGGAAATGTCTGTGAAGGAAAAAAACATGAGACAATTGTACGATATAACGAAGGTGCTCGCTGTTACTTACTGACAGCCAGAACGACCAGTGAAAAAGCAAGGAAGGCAAAGTAATCAGCAACACTCAAGAACAGCAAAAACAGGTGGGTAGAACACATTAAGGACCTCCCAGTCGGTGTTGGCCCACCAACAATTGAAGAGAATTGCATGGCCGTCAGACAAATCAAGAGTGGCGAAGCAGAAGAGCCAGACAACATTTCAGCAGAGGCATTGTGGGCAGACGTTGCAGCAACTGCAAAAATATTCCACACTCTCTTCCAAAAGAAGAACAAGTACCACTGTAGTGAAGGAGAACACAGGTGAGGGCAACCGAATTGTATTTAACGAAAATTACACAGTTACTCAGTAAAATAGGAAAACCATATCGTAACCGTTAATTTGCAAATCTTCAATCCATCATCAATCCATTGTCTGACATTTCACTATTCATGCGTTTCATACAAATTCCATTGTGTTCCCACTTTTCCTTTCTTGATCTTCCCCCATCTTCTGCTGCCAGACATTACGTTTACACTCGCGTCATATACTACTTGTAAGTAGCGCGCACCACACCACCATCATCATCAAAATACTAAAGAAAGGTGATCTCTACAATTATGAGATCTACGGAGGTATCACTCTTCCCCCAGTTACAGGCTGAGTCTTCAGCGGGTGCTTTTAAATAGAATGACGGACTTCGTAGACACGAAACTTCGAGATAAACAGGATGGACTCCATAAGGATTGCAACATTATGGATCAATGTGGATTAATCAGTTGAATGGAACTCACTACTCTGCATCAACTTCACTGTCTACGACAAAGCATTTGATAGCTTGGACAGGACAACACCATGGAGGCTGCTTCGATACTATGGTGTGCCTGAGAAAATAGTCAATATTATACAGAATTCTTATGATGGATTCAACTGCAAAATCGTGCACAGAGGACAGCTAACAGACTCGTTCGATGTAAGGACCGGTATCAGGCACGGTTGCTTACTCTCACCCTTCATCCTGGTGATCGACTGGATTATGAAGATGGAAACATCTGGAGGGAAGCATGATATACATTATACAGCCAGGATGCAGCTGGACGATCTGAACTTTGCAGACGATATGGCTCCTCTATCGCACACGCAGTGACAAATGCAAGAGAAGGCGACCAGTGTAGAAGCAGCCTCTGCAGCAGTAGGTCTCAACATACATAAAGAAAAAGGCAAGATTCTCTGATACAACACAACATGCACCAACCAAATCACTCACTATTGATGGAGAGGCCTGGGGGGGGGGTCGTTAAAACCTGTAAATACCTGGGCAGCATCATAGGTGATCAAGGTGAATCCAAAACAGTTATAAAGGCCTTTATCGGCAAAGCAAGCACTGCATCTCTACAACTGAACAACATCTGGAACTCCAAACAGCTTTCAACTAAAACCAAATCATGTTTTCAATACAAATGTCAAGACAGTTCTACTGTATGGAGCGGAAACTTGAGAACTACCTAAGCCATCATTCAAAAGATACAAGTATTCACTAACAATTGTCTACTCGAAAATAATTCAGATTCGTTGACCAGACACCATCAGCAGCAACTTGCTTTGGGAGAGAACAAACTAGATTCCAGCGGAGGAGGAAATCAATAAGAAGAGGTGGAGTGGATAGGACAAACACAGCCGAAACCTCTGAACTGCGTCACAAGAAAAACCCTCAAGATCAAAGGAAACGCGGAAGGACAAAAAGCACGTTACGCCAAAAAACCGAAACAGAACTGAGAGGAATCAACAAAAATCAGACAGAAATGGAAAGAAAAGCCCAGGACACAGCGGATTGAAGAGTACCGGTCGGCGGCCTTTGCTCCATTGATGGTAACAGGCGTAAGTGAAGTGTCCAAAACGGAAGAAATTATCTGATATTCTTGTATAATCAGAAAGCCTTCTTATCGCTGTCGCATCGCGCATATACATTTATATCCGTTCTTAATTCTTCCTCGCCCACATACACATTAGTCCATTTCAACAGGACTTACATTGTCATGTTTTTTTCCAGTAAAGCTAGAAAAGATCGGACGCGAAAAACGACTTTGTCATTGTAGGTCACCTATTTATTATTATGTACCAAACTGCTCCTTCACGTACGAAAAGACAACCGGACGTTAATGGACGAAGCAAGCTATTAGACGAGTGTCTATCAAAGTCACAGACGTTGAGTTTAAACTTCTAGCTCACCACATCTTAGGGTAACTACAAACCAGCTAGGGAAAAGCGAACTGGAACTGTAAATAAATTCCAAAACAAAATGTTCTGTGATTCTTCGACATCCATTCTGACCTCATTAGTTTTACTGGACAAGTGCCAGCTTAATAATCTCGATCACATATCCTCAGCAGATCGCCATGCAAAGCAGTTCCTCGCATCAACTCACAAGCCTCATTCATTCACTCCTCGAAATCTCAACCATCATTCAAATATACATTTGATCTTCCTCACTGCTGACCTCTGGTGCGACTTGGGTCCAGGTATCCTCGATCTGAAATGTAATACGTACAAAAGCATGTCCTACCCTTAATATCCGTAATATCCTTTCGACTATATAGGATTTTCAAACTTAATATCGTAGAAAGTTGCCATCTGTTACCGAAAAATATTTAATTATCTTCCTGCATTCGGTTAAGAAGTCCAGAGACTGAGGCCTGAAACTTCTTTATATGATGTATTTTTCTCGCCTTGAAGGAATTGTTCTCTATTCAAATGCAAAAGAGTAGTGGGAATTTCGAACATGCTTATCCTAATCGCTACTGTGTTTGCGGCTTACTCTATAACCTCATATATTTTACTACGGAATCCAGAAATACTGCACAGAAAAAAACGGTTTCCTTTTGATGCTGCACATATCAGTCACCGAGGTGGTTCCGGTGAACAGATAGAGAATACCTTAAAAGCTTTTAATAGGTAGTCAAAATCATTGGTCATAAATATTAGTTTATTGCACTTAGTTCCTTACTAGTTGGCACAAATATGTTTGAGACTGATTGTCATCTGACCAAAGACAATCAAGTCGTTGTATTTCATGACAAGATGCTAGATCGTTGTACTGGTGTGTCCGGCCTAGTGAGAGAATTTTCTTACAAAGATCTACCGGATTACCTTAAAATGATCGAAGTTGAGTTTTCTCCAGGTATAAAATTATTCTAATTTTCCATGTTTTTATTGTAATGTTATGAGTTCAACCCCTAGTTGCTAGATCTGTCGAGTGTTCCTTTGTGAATTCTGATTAGAAAAAAAATCATTTACTCAAAAACATATCATAAATATGCAAAAGCTGGTAATTACACGCTTCTTTGTAGGATCCTAGGCTAGTTATTTTCTAAAAACAAGGTTTTGGGCGCTCCTACGTTGTAAAGGAGAATGCCGTACAAAGTTTATACATTTGGCGATTTCACTGCAGTTGTGTTATTAAATTGCAAAATTGTTGTGCTTGTAGCTTTTTTAACAATAAAAATATGTTACTGCTTTGGCCGCAGTTAGTAATCACTATTTGCAGTTTCAAACTTGAAATAGTAAGGTTCAAAAGTGAGTATATATAAATTTGTAGACAATATTTACATGTAGTGCATTTGCACTTCTGATTAATGTTGATAAATAGTTTTTATTTCAGCTATACTTTCCAAACTGTTTTATGTACCAAATGCAGTTTTCGAAAATTTGTAGATTCTTTTAGTAAATTTTCTTTGAACGAATTCGTATCTAGTGGTTTTCTGTCATACTCAGAATGCACGCCAGCTGATCGATAAACTGGACCTAGTGTAATAGGTTTAATTTTTCTGTGTTATCTCTTTATGTACGTGGTTCATATTAATTTCAACATCGCTTTGTACCAAAATTTAACTGCTTTGAATACAAAAATTAGCATTTCTAACCCTGTCAAAAACAATCATGAGGCCCCGTTAACTTTAGGTGTATTGTATAAGAGGGGGGAATAGTTTACACCAATATCCACCATACGAATTCCAATTTATGCAGATGTTTTTTATTTGAACTGGTCGTTATTATAGTTTTTCGTCCTTTATTGACTTCTATTCTTATTCGGTAATACCTGAATTTCTTATGTCAATTACTAGTTAAGTAATTATGATTTCTTATCTCCACCCCAGTCAGGTTCTTTTTGTAATGCAGAGTCTTCCCCTTCATGTAAAATTCCACGTCTAGAGGACTTGTTTACTAATTTTCCGAACACGCCTATCAATATTGACATTAAAGTTAATAACGATTTCCTCATCAATGAGGTTAGTTTTTTATTTTATGTTTAATAATATGTTCTACCTTAGTCACATGTTTCTATCTGTTCATTACTTATAGCCTCATTTTGTATGGCCGTTGTATGAGCTCTACTGGTATTTAACGTTTGCAGTATAATTAGCTCTATTTAATTCACTCTAAAAATGGTCTACAATTTAAAAATGTTCCGTCACGATTTCTTTATATGACCTTAATTGTTGTATATTCTTCAGTTGAATATATGTACTGAAAAGTTTATAACCTTCATGTTTTTGCTACCATTAATATCACGAGGATATCGAATTGTTGAAAATTAGCCTTTGTTTAACTAGATTGCATCTTCTGATACTATCTGTATAGAAACAATACATGGAAATGTTTATTGTTTTATAGATTGCGATAACGTAAAAATGTTTGTGCTATTTACATACATTCACACAAACGGCATTAAAACGTTGCTCACCGCTGTTTGGAAATCCTCTTTATAATGAGAGATTATAGTTCTTGACATGATGTTTGGTCCTATCTCGCACCTTCCATTGATGTGAAACAGTATTATAACATGATTCAATAATTTCGTAGTTTATTTATAGCTTTCTCCACAAAAATATATGCCTTCAAAAATCACCTTGGTAGTGGTTTTCATCATTTTAGCGGAGGAGAAGTACTGAGTATTTTAAATTTCTCTTGGGTTGTGCTGCAAAGCTGTTATGAAAGAAAAATACTGTTATATCTGGATACTCAGTGTCAAAATATAACATGACTATAAAAAATGGGTTTTTATTGATCAGTAAAATGACATACAAAGTATTAGGCAAATGTAAATACGATTAAAAGTTATTTTAAACATCAGTAAATGCGGGACACCGGCTTTCTTTAGATCACCCAGTTCGTACCGATACGTATAACCCTTCAGTCTAAATTCTTCATTGTTGTGTCATTAACGGAGAGAAAGCAATGCTTTTAGTAGATTTAAAGTATTTCTGATGTCTACACAGTTTAAAAATATCTTCATCAGTTTTTATAGTTACACAAATTTTTAATTGTTTATAGACTAAGAATTTTTCATGTGTTTAAATGATCTTATGTTGTCAAACAGTAACCTTAGTAGTCATCTGGCTTTCCATCCATGTCTTGGTTTTGTTAGTTTGTCCCGGCAGTCCTCGTGACCCTAATAAATATCAACCGCAGTCAAAATTTTTATGTACGTGAAATGTTTCCCAATGGTTTATAACAAACTGGATGTATTTATTATTGTCTTAGGTTGCTCGTCTTATTGAAACTTACAAACGAGAGCGTATAACTGTATGGGGATCAATGGATTCAAAAGTATCAAAAAAGTGTGAATTACGCAACAAAAACATTCTTACTTTTGCCCCTTCTTCGTATGTAATGTGGATAATCACGTGTTATGTTGTGGGACTACTCCCTTTCATACCCATGAAATTTGATTGTTTTGAACTTCCTTTAGTTTCTGTTATTCGGTGGGTTAACAGTTATTTTGCCATATCTATTGTTACCAGTATAATAATAATTATTATTGTTATTTGTTTATCTTGTTACAGTCTGCTTATCATAAAAAAATTTGCAATTGGTTGACCACTGAGTAGTGACCGATGCCATGATTGTCAAGTCCTTCTTAGTTGAAATGTAGTCACTAGTCTACGTGACCCAGCATCGTGTGCACTATATTGTGACGTAAGGTTTCATGCTATCTGGCACTTTCCAACATGGCTTACCTCAAATATTGAGGAAACTGACACTCCTTTGTAGATCCAATCCTGTCACTTAACATTACAATCTATGAACACAATCTAATAGTTTTTTTTTCGGTAATAAACTTATTTAATATACATCAATCCTTTTCGCAGTTGAAACCACAAACTAGTCCTAGCTGTGTTGCCATTAAGAACCTGAACACATCGGATGGCCACTTCATCCTAGTACGGAACCCTTAAACTTTGCGAATACATAATACCGTATACAGATATCGAACCGAGGTACTTGGATCTCATGCACGAACGCTATCTCTAAACCACTAAGCCGAAATCAAAACGGTGTTAATGTCTGTTAATGTCTTTGTGTCATTGATACCTTTTAGTTAAGCCGGGTGAAATAATCAATAATGGAAAAAGATTGTGAGACCTCTTACAACGGCTCCATCATGCGGGCTCCAATGTAGTTCGAACATCTGTTTTTCTTTGTTATATCTAAATGTAGATTATGATAAAACAAGAGGTGACCAAACCAGGACATGACATCAGTTGATGAAGGCACTAAGCGCAGGTAGATCCGAAGCACCTAGTTGAAGTCCACGTGATCATCGTAACCAGTAGTTAAAAACTGGGCGATCTATTTGAAAATCATTCTCATTAACCTATATTCATTCACCTTTTTTATTTCTATAGATCTTAATTATCTCAATCACCTTTTAAATTCTTTTATTCTAATAATCTATGTTTTCTCGAGTTGTTTATTCGATGCTTAATATTTTCTCTTACTAATAATATCGTTACTACCTCTACTACTATGGTTTATGCTGGCTAAGTTCGGCAATTAAAACCGATGTACATATGTTTCATATTCTACATTCCGTTTGACCAACTACATGTGAACAATCGTGACAATAGGTTGTAAGCTTTTGAGAAAAGTCCATAAATAAACCATAAATTTTACTAGTAGTTTAAAATGAATTCAAAATGCGTTGCAGTATTTGTGCAGTTAGGGAATAAATAACCCGAAGGTTCAATGACGTTACTGTTTGTATACACTGAAAGTTCTTAGCATACTTTGAGTTGATTTCGCAACCCAAAAGTAGCTTGTAAGTCGTATGATTTAATAGTGCGGTTTTAAACTAACTTCTTTTACTTGATTTCTCTATCCTGTTTCTCCCCCCATACAACTTTAATAAACATCCTTTTCTCATCGGTTTATTGTTGGTTCAGTACTCCATTTTGTCACTATTCTCAGGAATGCTGTAATTGTGTAATTATACTTACTAACTATTCATTTAATCTGTCTTCATTGACTAATCTACAAAGTCCAATTAAGATTCCATTTCTCTATCTGAACTAGCTGAAATAATTGTAGATGAGAGAAAGTCTTTATCATTTACTGTAGTTTATCCTGTTAAACTTTTCTAATTATCAATCCGTAACACATTAAATTATTATTAAGCTTTACAAATATGTGCAAAAATCTTAAATAGAATTTTATTTTTTTTATACCAGGTATTTTCTTTGATTTTTTTTTTGTATAGATCAAACGAGTTTGCCAGACGACGTAGTTGGAATCATTTTATACCTAATGCAGTTTTACTATTCTCTGACCTGTAAGTATTTATTTATTTCTTTGTTGGGTTTGTAATTTTGGTATTCCTTGTGTCAATCATACAAAGAAACTTAACATCGAAAAGTATTTGGAGAATAATGATCATGCAAAGTCATGAAGAGGAGAGTGTGGAATAAATGTATTCACTTACCGCAATCTGTTTTGAACAGTTTTGTCTAAGCTCACCAACCATATATCACGATTATTTCTGACCATGACTCAGCAGTTTGCACATTAAAACCCTCCTCAAACGAATAATCAGTGATCTTATAAACTAATGCGATATCTTGACTGGTCTTAGCCTTCTTACATTTTTTATACCAGTCACCATCATTCTATATGTAAGTGTTTATCGAAACTCTATGGGTATAAAGGAAATTCGAGTGTACAATACACTCATTTATTCATTCTTTTTTTTTTAAATCCATGAATTGCAACTAAAACTCTGATTATAGGCTACCAACTAATAGTTTAGTATGAAGATAATTTTGTATATAGTCAATATATATATAATTAGAATTTGTTTAAACTTCCTTACATACTACTCATGATTAATATAAAACGTGTACTGGTAATGATAAGTAGTTGATATTTTCTACCTACAAGAATATTCATATTGATCACACGTATATTATGTGTCGAAATAACAGTCTTTGTGCTTTGATTATATTCTATAACTTAATTGATTATTGACTAATATTTGTCATTACAAATATGAAGCATTACTATAAGCTTTTTTCTTGTTGCAAAACTCTTTCGTTACTTCTTACTTTTTAATTCACTAATTTTTTTTTTTGGTGTATAAAATAGAGTCTTATCGTCACCTCTGTTCATAAGACATCTACGAAAACGTGGAGTTCCGGTAAGTTTATAAAAATTAATAAATTATTTCCAAAAAAAAGATAAACTATTTCCCAGTGTTCACGTGAGCAGACATCTCAGATTCCATTTTAATCAAAAAAATGCATTTTTTTGTGTGTGTCTGTTTCGATTTAACTTTTATCGTGTAATAATTTCATTTTAAATTGCTTGACCAACCTTTTATTTCCGATATGTATGTTATTCAAGGTGATCTGCTGATTAATAACATCACTACTGATATGCATTATAATTTCCAAGTTTTTCATCCACAGTTGTCTCCATTGTTTTCCTTTTTTCTATTCAAGATGATTTACGCTAAGATTATTTTATTCTATATATATATATATATATATATATATATATATATATATATGAATTTCAATGAAAAACTATCTAACTAGTGTAGTTGATAATGAAATAATTAAAATTTTTTTGCCAATTTACATATAATAATTTATTTACTTTGCAAAAAACATATTACTTGCATTTAAGTTACGAAAATGTCAAATATACAAATTTCTTCTCATTTGGGATATCATCAACAATGATTATTATTATTATTATTAAATTTCCAATCACTGACTGTTAGAAAAGATAATTACCTTTTTTTTCATTTTTTCCTCCAAGTTTGTGATCATTTTCTAAATTACACTAAAATCACCAAGTAGGCAAGATTGATTTTAAGCCTAATAATAAGTTAGCTAGTGATCAAAACCTTTACAACATAAACTGTCGTCTATATTCTGTCTGGCACATAGATAATTACTGTCTTTTTTTTTAAGTACAATGTGCTAGTTTGAAAAAGTGTAAAATTAAAAAGCCATTAAATTGTCGATTCCTAATATGTATTACTTTTTCAAAATATCTCTGATTTAAGTCGAATTAGAAATTAAGCTAGATAGCAAAGATCTAAAAGTCTACTGTTTAATATGTTCATTGATGTTAACTAAACTTATCTTTAATGCATCAGTGTTATTAAATGTTTATTCCTTTGATTTTACAGTCCTTTATGCTAACCTTATCTATAACATGATCAATTTATTTAATGCTTTCTAAATTGATTACATTAAAAATTGTTGAAATCAATTACCAATACTTCCAATGTAATTTAGAAATTGTACAATTGGTTTGGTAGCGTAAATAGCTTGTATCCCAACCAAAACTAGTGTGTCCTAACTTTACTTAGTTTTAGTAATGTTAGTTAAAATACTCATTCTATCATTAAGTGACATTAAAAGTTTTTGTTACAGTGCACAGAAGGATTGAATACCCTACGCAAAGTGGAATGATAACATGAGGAAAAAGTGGAAGCATAAAAAGTCATTAAAACAAATAAAGAAAACAGTATTCGTTGAAGAAAATAGTCATTTTATGTTAAAATGTAATATCAAACTTCAGCAATACTCCTATTGATTCATATTCTGAACGTTACTTCATATCTTCTTAAGCCACTTAGTCGCATAATGTTCAGAATCCCAATCAGGGAGTCGTAATGATCTACTAGCTACTAATAGTGTATAATTATCTTTCATACCACTGTTTGATTTTATCAGCAAACAATGAGCAGTGCTCCAAGATGTAGACACCAATTGAATTATTATCACATCACTCAAAAACAGTTTCCTTGACCTTGATATTAATTACTCTGTTTTCTCATTTAATGTTGGCACTCATTAAAACATAAGAGAAATTAAATACATAGGATTGCCGAACGTCTTGCTACTGCTAGTTCTTAAAAAGTAATTAGCATTTCAAAGATGTAACATCTGAACACTAATCTTTGAACGTACGAACACTAATTGTCAACTGTGATTATGTGAAACTTTCATCGCCTACGTACCGTTCTACTATAAGACAATTTGGTTCAAATACTTGAATAGTCTATCCAGATATAATTTTTTACTTTTTGTCTATTTATTGTCATCGATTTATTCTTTTAAAAGACTTCAATTTAAATGACAGTAAATGAAATCAATGCATATAAACCCCACTAAATAAGTCCATTGTTAGATAGTTAGTTTTGTGTGTAAATGTACTTAGATTGAATAAAAGTTTATTATCACGTAAAAATTTGCATGACATTTCTACATAAGCATATTTACTGTTCTTCATATTCAGCTATTATTTTTTATCAATACAGATATGTTTGTCTACGTGTGTTTTTTTCTGTGTCTATTGATTTCCACACATGGTTTGCCGTATTAAAATATGGGATTTCAATGCAATACAATATAAGTAAAACCTAGTTTTAATGATCAATAAATGTATCAACTCAATAAACATACGTTCACTCATTTGTTAATTTAATTAGTTTTGTAGAATCAGTGTTGATTTCTAGCTAAGAAGTACATGGTTTAGTAAATTTTAAGCAATATCTCACGTGTCAAACGGAATGATAACGCTATAAAGAAAGAACAAGGAAAGAAAATCACTAAATAATATAAATATGGACGGTTAAAGGTACAGTTCTAATCTAAACATAATTAAAATAAGCTTCATTATTTACAAAGGCACTTTCTATTGTTATTGAAAAACATTACTTTCTTCCCTGGCCTCTGTTTTGAACTATGTTGGATACATGATCGGTTTGTTTTTAAACAAATTTCTATTGTATCTAATCATTACTCACATCATATTATAAATTAACCAGAACATTCCTTAAAATACAACATGGATTAAACTGTCAAACACTCCTATATCAATGAATTCAGGTATTTCTAGACTTTCCAAAGAACTGTTGGTACCACATTATTGTGCCTTTGATCTTTGAAAACCAGTTTTAACATCGGGACGTCACTGAAATAGTTCTAGGTTATGTGTGATAATAATTCAGCATCTTTGTATCCACAAGCTTGCCAAAACCTAACCTTACTCTTAAAAGTCACTGTTTATATTCTTGCGTTTTGTCAGTCAGTTACAACGTAGAACTTCGTACGCGCGTACATTAGTTGCATGTATAAGCCAATTCAGTGACATTAACAATACTGGCATCATTCTGTATTGATAGTATACTCTTTACTCTCTATGTATGAGGCATAATCTCTGACCACATTTTCGTTAAATAAGTTGAGACACAAGCCTTAAAATCGTATTTCGTTAACAGTAATGTACGAAACTAACTGTCTTCTCATATGACATTGTTTATGCTCATTTCCATTATAGCTTCATTTCTATCTCCCTATCGATTGTACATCATAAAGACTGTGCATATTTTATGAATTATTCACATAGTATCTAGAATAAATATAATTGCTATTTATTGATTAATGAAGTGAATTCAGGAAAGGCTTAATTTATTTTTCGTTTTTTTTTTGAAAAAACAAACTAATCCATTAGTTGTTCTTGTATGTTTTGTTCTAATAAAATTATACAAATGATTATCTTTCAAAAAGACTTTTTGAGTGACTTTGAATAATATATTACGTTTGCTCAATTGTATCATTGGTTTAAAGGCATAATAATAAATTGTTCAACGTGGCTGAGTACCTTCATTGATTACATAATGTTTGAGATATGACTAATTGAATCTAGTCTCAGTTCTTTAATACTGACTTGTGTGGATGGAAGAAAATTAAGACGCAACTAAAATGTTCATAACACATAATTGATTTGAATGATGCATGAAAGTGCTAACGATCACATAGAATCCAGTGTAATTAAAATAACTAGAAATCGACTTTAGTGTAACAGATGTAATCAGTGTTTATTATTGAAGTTTTCCAGCATCATTTAATTCTATACTTTTTATTGTAGGTTTTACATTAGTGATAGTGTCATTGGTTTCCTCATGTCTTAATTTTTCTCTGATATCAACTTTATCATTCGGGTTCTAAATTGTTTACTTATTTTTATCTTTTCAGATTTAATATTGTTACATTGTAATTTCAAAATTTAGAATTAAATCAAATAATTATAACGTAACAATCATAAAGTATTTTAGTGCTAACATACATATATACTGTAAGGTGATGAATGGATGTCTCAATTATTAATAGATTGTTTTTTTTTCGAAAAATGTTTCATTTCTAAGTAGCCAATTATGAATGTTTCAAAGAACCTAATAGATTTAAAGAGATTTTCATCTTGTTTGACTTTAGTTAATTAAACATTAAAAGATAGTTTCACAATATCCCAAATTAATTGGAGCTAAAAATGTAAACCATTGAAGGGCGGCTCATTGGTCTAAAGTTTCAGTGCTCTCTGAGACGCCTGCAAGTCCTAGGTTCAGTCGTCAGCGGGATTCTGAGTGCGTACTGTTTAGGAGTCCTACTTTAGGAAGAAAACTTCCAGTGTTTCTTTGTTTCCAATGGTTGTTGAACTAAGGTTAGTTTATTATTGAAATTGTAAAATTCAACGCTCTTTGAACGCGTCTCCCAAATACATTATTGGCTGTGACACATATTTCAAAGAAATATGAGAATTCCGAGCAAAACTACGTTGATATAATCATGCGTTTGAAAATAACAATTTATAGAATTTCTCTTTAAGAGTTCAATTATTCCAATGACGTTTACACATTAATTTCTTTCAGTATCGTAATATTCTTTACTCTTATGAATTTTTCAACTACTGCTATTAAACTCTGCCAGTAAATCCTTTTCAATTTAAAAGACAAGAACGACAAACTTCGTGAATTTCATTTCCTGTTTTTTCTAATACTTTTAAACACATACTGATTTGCGCAAACAAGTAAAATGTTTTCCTTTTTTATTATTTGTATAACATGTATTAAGTCATTTAGTTCACTAGTGGAAAATAATTCTAAATGTTGACCATGTTTACGCAAATATAATCAGTTGGTGAATGCCTTAGGCCAAAAGAAAGCGAATATGTTATAACCGAGTATAATAAATATGTGCAGATTCCTATATTTTACATCAAGTAGAATGATTAAATTAATAATAATTACCGAAAAACAATTGTTAAATAGTCAATATAATAATGATGATAATAATAATTCAGTCAGTTACAACGTAGAACTTCGTACCTACGTACATCAGTTCAAGTTATGATATCGCATTAGCACATAGACGCAAGTGTCAATTCAAATCCCATAATAGTAGAGGCAGTAGAAATGTTAAAACGATTAATGATCGTATATATCATTCGAGATGTATATCCCAGAGCATCTTTGTGTCCACAACCTTGCCAAAATCTAACCTTACTCTTAAAAGTCACTGTTTACATTCTTGTGTTTTGTCAGTCAGTTACAACGTAGAACTTCGTGCGTGCGTACATTAGTTGCATGTATAAGCGAATAGTTGTTCACTGTTACCTATCGCCACTGCCTTTCCCATCTCTCTTGCTTTCTCTACCTGACAATGTTCGCGTAGGCTTTTTATCAGCCCCAGCCTAAGCTAACTCCGCTCTTCATTGTACTAGAGATGAGTTTCGGAGCTTCCGTCAGTTCCGTAGATGCTACTGAAATCCACTGATTCTCCCCAACCTTGTGGTTTACCTTTCAAGCAGATATCTTTGCTGTTCCCACAGTCGTTTGGATATCATTCCAAGCTGATTCTAGGTAGGTATCACTTACTACTTGGCTTCCTAAGTGTTTTTCTAATTGTTGCTGAAATATATTCTTAGCTATATCATCAGTAAGTAGAACCCTGAGAGGTTTCCTTGCGGTGTCTTTCCCACGTTCGATAAGCCTCAAACAAATATGCGCCCGCACTAGAGCATGCTCTGAATCTAAATAACTGCCCCAGAATGAGCGGCAGTCTTCAGTGATGGCTGATAGCAATGTGGTCTATTGCGGTCCATCGTTGAGTCGGCTTTGTGGGTCTCCATGTCAAAAGTTATTTTCCCTTATGCTTAAAGTTGATGTTTGCTAGATATAGACCGTTATCTGAGCGTAGCTGTAGCAGGCGGTCGTCATTATCTGGTCTTTGAACCACAACACCATAAGATCCACCCAGGTGTCTTTCCTTTTCACTTAGTCAACCTACTTGAGCATTAAAGTCACCAGCCATTATTACTGTATCAGAGCGCTTGACATTTTGAAGAACTCATCATGGTATTTATAAAATTGTACCATATGTCGTAAAATTTCATCTTGAATAGCTCTGAACTATCTAGTAGTAGTCCAATAAGAAGAAATGTTGGACACCGTTCATTTAGTAAATTCTGATACCACCTTCCAAGCAATAAACAGACAGAGTGATGGTACATTGTGCTCTATAGAAGCAGTCTATGTTCATCGTTTCAACCCCCAATGCGTGTGTGTGGACAGCTACTATGCGGAGGAAAGATAAAGAAAGAAAATTTTCACAAGCCTAACACTCTCATCAAGCATCAATCTACTAACACTTCGAAATTGACCAACTCTATCTGATAGCTGCACAATCAGATATTATATAGAAAGACAATGAAAACTCCATAACTAAATCATCCAACTGAGAAACTACAACAGATTGTTAACTTCATTCCTTAAATCATTCACTAAACTAATTTACTAACTAATTTTGTCAACATGACTCATTGTGATCACGTTTTTTAAGCATAATGAAATATTTTTCCACTTAATAGTTGAATGTTTATAGGCAAATGTTAAGCTTTTTGTTTGAAAATTAATTTAATATTAACAAAAATTCATTCAATACACTTTTTTTCATGGTTCTGTTTTAAGTTGAATTGTTGGAATTGTTGCTGTTACCATCTATTTAAATTTGGCCATATATTTGTATGTACTTATTTAATGTATTTCAATGATCAATTATTCATTATTATCAGAATTGATCAACTCCATAAATAATGCAAATTTTTAAAAAAAAATATTTCTCTTACATGTAAACTTTTACTGTGAACGTTATGATAATATCGATATTGGTTAAATGAAACAAAAAGAGAACAAGTCTGGTCATCTTGTACACAGAAAGTATTTATTATTTTATCATTGATTTCAGTTGTCTAGTTCTTTTGTTATTCAAACCTACTGATGTAAATTCACAAAAAAAAACAATCTTATTACTTATTAGAATTCCATACTATGAACTGCATTTACATTTGTTTATCTTGTGTAAATGTTTATTTTATCACTTTACAGTATTATCTATCAAACAATACTTCTTTTGTATTATTACTGATTTGTTAAATTGGAATCTTTTATTTTCTGGCCTTTTCTAAGTAGTGAATTTTTTTTTTGGTCAGTTTGCTGTTTGAATGCTTAAACATATAAATATTCTCTTAATCATTTATCTACTCAGTTGACTTTTATTTATTATTGAAATGATGAATGAGGCGTTGTTTTTTTTGGATCTACATTCCTACGCATATGCATTTTTAGTTGTGTTAGATTGTATGTTTACCTAAAACTACGTGAAATTTATTAGATTATGCGTTTTTATTTTGACCAAAAAAATAAGTTTACTTTAATGATTGTTGTTATATAGGTTAAGCATTATTTTGCATCAAGTATTATTTTGTCTAATGTTAATTTTTACTGTTTAATCAATTTGTGTTGTTGTTGCTGTTGTTGTTGTTCATTTTTGAACTAACACAAAACTATCTTCTCTTTTACTTAATGTCATAAAATTGCCTTCATGAATTGACAGGTATAAATTATGATATTAAACTTACTTATCAGTTTGGCATTAACTTTCTCTTATCACATAGCTGAATTAATAAGTCGATTGACAAAGCTCAGATCTAAAGGCTGACACTCTGCCAACTGTAAATTGTTACCCACAAATAAACATTCCATAGTTTACTGCTCAGTTTCTGAAGTATATCCTGACATTACTTTATGACCTTGTCATAAGTGTTTGTAGTTTACACTACTACTACTACTACTACTGATGAATGGTGACCAATCGTAATCACGTTTTATTTTCACTACATTTTTCTTACTTTTCAAGTCAACTGTGCAGAATAAAGCTTTATATGTAAATAAGATTTATTATTATAATAATTGCGATTCAATATATATTATTTCTCTTCAACCTTTATATAATTTAAATATCATCTGGATAATCTAATTTTTTGTCAGTAATTTTATGAAGTATAGTGCGATTGCCTTGTTTTCTTCATATTACTAAGTAAAAGTTGAAAGTGCAACTCTTATAGTGTATTCTTCTCACTCAATGTTTTTTTTTATCAAGATAATGGTGTCAGCTGAATTCTCGATGTTATGCTCGAAGATTCATTGCAGATCAGATCACATATTAGCAGTTGTGTAGTAGCACTAATCGCCTTGCATAAAATTTTATAGCATTAAGTTGTGTACACAAACTTGTAGTTAATCAATGGCTTGTACTAACTCTTCTCAATACTTGACTTTTTCCACCAAAATGTCCAACAAAATACACTTCAAAAATTCCTGCACTTTTTCAAAGAATACTTTATCACTTCGATCTGTGTACTAACTCAGCTGTAGATGTTGACATGACTTGTCAGAAATATGTTTCCGCTAGTTACTGTTTGTGCTTGAGATTGCTGACAAATTAAACCTATATTGAAGCTCCTCTTCTTGCCCTGAAGTACTTATCAAGTTATTTCAAATTGTAGTATACGTATAATGATTATTATTATTATTAATTTCTTAATAATGATAAGGTACAAATACTTCTCGAAATCTACGTAGTGATTTATTGACTAGAATACGGCCCATGACTATCCTGTGTAGATAAGCGAACTGTCTGGGTATTGAAGCAATAGTATGAGTAGCAGAATAAAGTTCGTGACCAACTGGTGAGAAATTAACCGTTTAAACCGGGAAACCATGATCTTCATTCTCTGTCACTCTAAACTGGATTTCGTTTTTCTTTGGATATTTTTTAATTATGGTTAAAATGATGTTTGGTGTATTGTCCTGCTGTTACTACTTATAATATTAGTAATAGACAGGGTATGTTATTTTTATCTTTGCTATACACACATATCGAATTTATATTTAATGATTGTGTTCTAAATGGTACAATTCGTGTCAGTTCCTTTTTCGGTAAGATATATATATATATATATATCTTGCAGTAAGTAATAAGTGGATTTCGAAACAGTTAATCTAATTGTTGAAAATCTGACTAACTGCTCTAAGCGCCGCTCCATATTGACCTTTATTAAAAGTGTGTTAAAAATTTACTAATCTTCTATCACTGGAACATTTTCCTGGGCTCAAATTTAAGGTGACTTAAATTTTCAAGCGTATTTTTAATTTTAGCCATGTCTTAGTTGTTTTCCTAGGTATTTCTTCATTTTGTTCATTCAGATTTAATATCTGTGACTTAAAACCCTTAGCAATCAAAACTTTCAAACTTTAGTAAACATTATTTAGAAGTAAATGTGGAAACGGCAGGATAGATGAAATCAAAAGCAGTTTCAATTCTCTCAATTATCTTCGTGATTGCAAAGTAAAATGACGTTTGTTTATACATTATTTGTTTCCCCTTATATGCTTGTAACTATTTTAATCGTGAATAGTGAATGTTCGGGCAGTGATTTCCTTTTCAAACTAGCACTTAAAAAAATGTTTTTAGTCGTGTTTCTTACTCATATTATTTTCTGTATTTTAGACTCTGTCTATTAATTTACTGATTGACATTTCTTTTACTAGGTATTTTTCTGGGTGTGTAACAATGAAGATGATATGCGAAAAGCTTTTGAACTTGGGGCTTCTGGTGTAATGACAGACTATCCTGTGAAGTTAGCCGAATTCCTCAAGAAGCATCCTGAATATCCGAAAGTTTTTTGATTCACTTTTGCATCCTCATTTTGAAAAACATTGAGCTAGACTTCTGTTTATATGCATGTCTTATGGATTTTTGGACTGAATTATACTCGTATTTATTTTTAATTTTGTAGACTTTTTAAAATTTAACCACCTTCATTTTCTTCATTTTTCACGAGAGGAATATACTAATCGATAAATTTGTGCATATCTAATCTATCCACCGTTTTTTTCATATGTTATATTAATAAGAATCTTACAGGTCTGTTAATAAAATCATATCGTATTGCCAGACCATAAGCTGTTACTTTCATCCTTTTATTTTCGATCAGACTGTGAGGAATTTTATTCTTTAACATTCTCGATGTTAGTTCTATAGTAAAATTTAAGATTAATATTTGATAGTGAATTTAAAAAGTAAACTACACCTATACGAGTTATATGTAAGCCGTTCCAGGTTTTCCCTTCAACGAAAAAAAGAGAAGATTACACTATCTAGTTGTCAGTATTATAAACTACTTACACTATTTGCTTTAAAAAAATTCAAGTTTCCTGTGAACTGATGTCGGTATTACTTTGACATTGTTGCAGCGTTTGTTACGTGTTCATTGACTACACTCTTGAGTTAATTTATCCTCATTAAAGCTAATGTCTAAGTTATTAGTACTTTGGTTTAAGAACAAGATTTACTGTTCATTTTAGCTGACATCTTTAAGTTTAGAACAAGAGTTTGGTATTTATTTTCTGTCTTCAATTTACTTACTTATACTGAGTGAATCGGGTCTAACTTGTATGTCAACATTATTCTCAGCTTCTATTTACTATTAGGTGGTTTATGCATACAAGCCAACTCTGTAACTAGTCACAAAGGCAAACCACTTGTCCTTAAGTTAAATCGGTTCCCCAATATAGTTAACTTGAATTTCGCACATCGATTGAAGTTCAAGCCTTATAACTCTCACCGTTAAAATTGGCACAAAGTGAATGGTAATTCATATGCATGGATTCTATGTAACGATACACTTTCCTATTCTCATTAGTACCAACATACTGATGAGGCATATTTTTGTGATTTTAGAAAATAAAGGTTCAGTTTTTGTACACTTAATTGGTGATAGTTATGTTTCTCCTTAAATAATTATCAATGCTTAACGCTACATCTATTCTAATGCAGCTAGACTTATCCGTTTCATAGCTTGAGTTTCAGTATGACTGTATATTTTTCACGTTTTGTTACGAATTCTATCAAGCAAATTTTCCTTAGTCCTCAACAGCAGTAAACAACACTTGAGGTGACAATTATCAGCTCCCGCTTAACCATTAGCAAATTCTAGGGTCATTTGAATATTTAACCTTGTCAAAATGAACCTATCCATAATCTAGAAACAGGATATCAGATTCCTATATGTTCGATATGAATTAGTATCACGAAACTCAAAAACTTCCCTAATGTTTGTTATATTTTTGTAAAGTGTTAGTTATTTCTTAGTGTCACAATCCTTATTTGAATTACAATATACAGTATTTTTGAGCGAATCTATCCTGCTCACCTTTATCCCTGCTCTAGTCGTGACTAATTATTGGAAAAACTATTTTGTATTTTACGTTCTATACCGTTAATGCTCCGAAACATCTGAATATTGCACTGTCAGACCTGGGTATGTCAAACTGTATCTAAAATTCTCTTTCTCACTGGCAGACAAACTGCTAATGACACATACTACTTTTGACTTCAAAAATAAGAAGCCCACTTGATTTTGCTTAGTGGAATTTTAAATGTTCTGGTTATGGGCTAATCATTTGTTCAAAAGGTGCTGCTAGTGTTAGTCTTACATTGATAATCGATGAATAAATATGGATTATGTTTCAGAGAAAAGTAAGTACAAATAATCCAAAAATTACAGGAAAACATTTCTCACTCATATTGTCACAAGGTGCACATATTATACGTCAGCTTATCGACAGGATCCTACTTTTCTTAGCGTTGTACCTGGTCCGCATTTTCGTAAGAGACTGTTTTTACAAGTGAAACTAGCTGTTAGAAGGCATTAAAGCATATCTAGGATGGTAGACGAACAAACATGGTTTTGTCAGGTCGGGGTTAAGAGAAGATCAGAATAAAGGTGTGTAGTGACTCCAATTTTAAGAAGAAAACGAGATTGGTTGAATAGTAACATTCATAATTATAACCGATTGTACCAGTGATTATTTTACTGAACTTCTTGTTTATTCGTACTCTGTACGCACACTTTCAGTTTATTTTGTTTCCATCTAGGTTATAATGCTCGTTGCATCTTCGTCCATATTTTCCGGCACGATCTCGGTTTTCTTTCGGTACTACGAGATCGCCAACAAATAACGCCCTCTTCTATATTATATCTTCTCTATCTTAGGTTCACGATGGGCTAACGATTTGAGACGGGAACGTGATCGGTTTGTAGTGGTGTTTATAGTCATCCTCAACTCGAGCCACTAAAGATGTATGCGGAAAACTGGTATATCAACAGAAGTAATCTTATGCTAGTTAAAAGTCACTGGTTTCCAACCAAACCATACAGCAGGCCAGTTAAAAAAGATATTAAGCAGTCTGCTGAACCTCTTCAAGGATAACTGACTATCATCAATCGATTGAATGTCACAGACAGGCTCATGCGGATGCGTATAATCCAATTTAAGCAATGATCCAGGGGCGTGACTTCATGTAAGCTAGGGGTCACACCATTCACGTCAAACTCAAGTGGGCCTGCGCCATCGATGCATCATCTACAGCGATGGTCTACAATGATTTCTAGTAAGCTATACGACACGATAAACTTACCTCAGTATACCGTGATTTTATGTGGACAACTTTATTATAAGGTAGGCTGATAGTATGCAGAATGGCTTGGGTCAGGATCTTCTCTGTTCTTTCCAAATTAACCTCATAATCAGGGCCATAATTATGAGAATCATTTTCTTAATTGGAGCTGTAAAGCAGCAGGACCAGACAACATTCCAGCAGAGGCAATGAAAACAGATTTGGAAGAAACTGCAAAAATACTTCCCATTCTCTTCAACAAAATTTGGGATGAGGAACAAGTACCATCAGATTGGAAAGAAGGATACCTCATCAAAATACCAAAGAAAGACGGTCTCATAGTGTGTGAGAACTACACAGGGATCACTCTTCTTTCAGTACCAGGCAAAGTCTTCAACAGGGTATTGTTAAACAGAAAGAAGGACTTCATAAATGCCCAACTTCGAGATCAACAGGCCGCATTTCGTAAGGATCGATCGAGTACTTACCAAATTGCTACATTATGGATCATTGTGAAACAATCAATTGAATGGAACTCACCACTAAACATCGACTACGAGAAAGCGTTCGATAGCGTGGATGGGAAAGCACTGTGGAGGCTTCTTCGACACTACAGTGTGCCTGAGAAAATAGTTAACATCATACGGAATTCTTATGATTGATTCAACCGCAAAATCGTGCACGAAGGTCAGCTGACAGACTCTTTTGAGGTGAAGACCGGTGTCAGGCAAGGTTGCTTACTCTCACCCTTTCTCTTTCTCCTGGTGATCGACTGGATTATGAAGATGTTAGCATCTGGAGGGAAACGCGGTATCAACTGGACAGCTAGGACGCAGCTGGACGATCTGGACTTCGCAGATGACCTGGCTCTTCTATCGCACACGGAACAATAAATGCAAGAGAAGACGACCAGCCTCTGCAGCAGTAGGAAAGGAAAAAGCAAAATTCTCCTATGCAACACAACACGCACCAACTGTTACGGTAGAAATGAAGACACTTGGCTGATTAAAACCTTTATATAGATATCATTAATTTCACTGTTTTCGGGTATATTTGTTTTACTTAACTTATGAACTTGTTTGATTTATTATTTTCGGACATTTTGGTTCATGTTTATCATGGTTTGCTAATTGGGAGTTTTTGCTCCAGAAACCTATAAAATTGAAGGTTTTTGTAGTTGTTATGATTATTGTTGTTAGAACGACATTTTGGTCGACTATTTGTGAATTGCGAATAGACTTTGGTACCTAACTTTGGAGTTTGATCCTGTTGTTAATTTTGGTTCGCGAATTGCAAATAGATCGACATACTGTACTTCAATAACGGGAGGGAGCAAAACTTGGACATAACAAATATCAATATTTAGTAAACCCCGAATGTGAGGAATAGGAGCATAAAGGCGTGAAATTGGCGTGTTCATCATGCGTTTATCATTTAGCGATACCTGTATGAATGGCAATACATATGTAGTATACTCATGGACTTTTAATAGTTTCCGAGACAAGTTTAGCTATTCGGCGGGCCATAAACATGTGCTTTAGGATTGTGTAGTTCTTCAAATAGCTGATAAATCTCTTTAGAGTCCATCAACAAAGTTACTAGCTTCTTGGACCTGGTGATGTTGTCACAGATAAACATAAAAATTGGCGGTTTGTTCCTTGTTTTGTTGTTTTACATACAAATTTTTTGTACACGAGAAACAAGAGCTAACAGAATATTGTTCCCTCAATAGCTTCACTGATTACTGGTCTTCATAATCAAAGGGAGTCATTGTACTTTAACATTTGTGGATGTTGATTTAGGAATGAAGCAAATCACGAATATAGTCGGTCAATGATTACGAAGGATTTTAGTATTACGAGAACCTTTTCGTATCAGACCTTATCAAAAGCTTTCTTCAAACGGAAGAATAGAATTGATACAAGAAGCCATTTGTCTTGTCTTGAGTTATATCATTCAGATAATCTAGTAGGCGTACATCGCATGAACTGGATCTAAGGGACCCATGCTAGGAAACATGAACACCGGAGGAAAAGTACAATCTATAAGAATAATGTGTAACTGCCGGGCTATGAAGTAATGTGATTTCAGAGGTTTTCGCTCACGTATAACGTGAATGTTCAGCCATCTTGAAATGGGCATTTTTTAACTTTGTGCTTCAGTTTCACCATTTTCCTAATGCTTGTATATTTCTAACACTTCTAGCTAATACTTTATGGTTCAGTATGATTAGATATGTCTGTATATAAACAACATTATTTTGAAGTACATGATGAATATAGGGGAGGTTGGTTTTGAACTTCTGAACTAAAGAGGCAGAGAGGTAAGTAAAAATCTACAGCTTAGCAGTCTAGTAAGGTATTCTGGATGACTCAGGGTTATTAGTGCTGAAAACAAAATTCTTATTCGGCTTTTCTTTCTTGTTATTTGATATCGGTCATCGTTTATGGACACAAGAGAAAGACTCTCATACCAGTACTGGACACAACTTTCCAACTTACAGCTATTGTGGTTCCTCCAGTTATTGTCTTCTTTCTGATTTCTGGATCTATCGGGATTTTACTTGGTAATCTCGCGAATAATAGTTTCAACCTCACAATAGTAGTCAGTGCAATATCACCAAAAGCACCTATTTTATTGCAATCATGTGAATCGATTCGAAATTTGTTTTGAACGGCCGAATGATTGAAAAGTTCTTATCAGGAAACTTCTTTGACAAAAATCCTCTACATTGATTTCTCACTGCTATGAAGAATGATAAGTTTTTCTACCGTCGGCGATTTAGTTTCCAAATTATGGTATTCTGGAGAAAAATTTTCACAAAGTGAATGACGACGAGCCGGAAGATAGATTATTTCTGTTGTCCAATAAACTTTATAAGATAGTTGCGTTAATTAACTGCGAGGCCAGATTATAAATGTCTAAAGTTTAGTGGCCTCTAAAATAACCGAATGAAAATACCCGCCATTTGTAACCAGTCAGAATGAGTGAGGGACTTATAGTAGTAGTAGGACATTTATCGAGAACAAATCTTCTCACGTAATAGACAGGATTGTTATAAGTGGTTGTAGATTCTCGGCCAATCAAGATTAGGTTCAGGCTCTAGGTTTGAGTTGAAGTGAGAATGACTGCACAGCTTGCATTCCCCAAAGTACTTGTTATAACTGAAGTTTTTGCTTTGGTCTCAGTCATTTGATACACAGAACGCCTTTTGTACACGATGACGTAATGGTTGTCTCGAGAAGTGAAAGATCATCGATCAATGGTGGAAAAATTTGTGTGACTTTTAAAGTATTTCCACACAATTCGAAAACTCAACATATTTGGATGGCACACCATATCATGTTTGTATATTCACAGTGCTCTACCAGTTATATACGACGTTCGAGATCAAGGTGACATTTAGTCGAACGGTTACTCCAATATTACCATGTGAAGCTAGCTTTGTTCTAATAGTTTCGTCTCTCAGGCTATTTTTACAGTCGATAGTCAGTGTCTTGTCTAGGTAGACTAGCCTCAACCTTGAAGTCACTTTCTGGACCCTGAATATCTCTATACTTGAGACGAATGGCTTGAAAATATTTTACACACAGATTGTTTGTCCCGTGGAACTCAACAAATGTCCGAATATTGCGTATTTTTAGATGGTGTAACTTACCATCCATGTTATGATACTTATCATAGAAGAGCTACCTTACTAGTGTGGTTGATAGAATTTAAAATTTGATTTCTAGGTCGAACTGTCACCTAGCTGCACTAGGAAATCAAGACTTATGTGCGTCTAGTAAAGTTGTATTCACAAGTGGTGTCTTAGGGATACGGAGCTTACTCTGAATGCAATATTATGCTGACTCTAAAGATGCAATGTTTAGCAAACAATATTATTTTTGTCATATAGAAGTGAAGGAAATTGAAAAATCGCTACATTCCATGAAAAAGATTATTAACTTAATAATAATAATATATTCATTCTCAAATAATTATGTTACAAGAGTCGCGCCAGTTTACAGGCTAGATCAAATTGTCACAAATGCTTTCAAAATACTGTAAAAGTTATAGCAGTTAAATTAAGTATAAGAGTCAGTTTCTGATACCATATTTACACCATGTCACTGACAGAAACCGTATAATACAGCCGCATTTTCATTAGTAGAGTACAAATAAGGAAGGCGCACAACATGTATAGATTTATTTCGACACTGGCTGTCCCAATTGTTTCCTATAGAAACACTCCTGTACGTTCCTCCTAGTTCCGGGTCCCGACCGAATCAAAAAGGGCAAAATTCTAGGAGAAAACGTCTCTTTATTATTATAAAATGGAAATACAAAGTCTTACGGAATTTGTGTTCCTTCCAGGGCTAAATTACTCCGCAGAGTATCCAACACAATAACTAGTAAGTGACACTAAGTCCAGCAGCCACCGCGTCCATCCAAAAATGTGGCGGTAGCCATATTATATCAAATTTAAACAATATATGTACAGTTCAGAAGCAAACCCAAAAACTTCAATATAAGTACAAATATAGAGAAAGAAAAACAATATACAATGATAAAATCTCAAATTGGAATCAAATAAAAATACCAAAAATGTCAGAGAAAAAGTCCATCATGTCATAGCAAAAATATGTAAACATGGAGGGATTTTCCAAAAAACACAAAACATTCAAAAAGAATTCTACAAC